TATTTGCCGGCGTATAAGACGACCCGGCATATAAGACGACCCCCCCAATTGGAGGCATCTTTTTCAGGGCAAAAAAGTCGTCTTATACGCCGGCAAATACGGTATTTTTTCAGCCTCTGAAACCCTGTTGAAGAGGCTTACAGATGGTCTTTGACTTATGACCAAACTTGGCACCAGAACTTCCATCGTTAAACAATGATGTTATTAAATGAGTTATACATTTTTGCCAAGCTCATTAAGCAATTCATACAGTCACCAAATGAATTTGGTTTCCCCCATTGACTTTGCTTGTCAGAAGCCTCCTGTGAAGGTTGTAAATGATGATCACTCTAAAACCATTGTATATACATGTCAGTTGCCAAACGCCCAAATCATGAACATCTGTGGAGATGCTGCAACAGTTGTAAGGGTCAAACAAATAGTCATAAGTTGAGAAATACCCATAATAATGTCTCTGAAGAGCTAGGTTTTAGCACTTTTTTATATTTGGGGAAAGGTTCCCCCCCCTTTTTTTCTTTTTAGTAAATAGGGTTAATACATCTGGCACAATAGTTAGAATGCAGTATTGAAGGCTGACTGTGCTCACTGCCAGGAGTTCAATTCTGAGCAGCTCAAGGTTGATTCAGCCTTCCATCCTTCCGAGATTAGTAAAACGAGGACCTAGATTGTTGGGGGCAACATGCTGATTTTTGTAAACCACTCAGAAAGTTCTGTAAAACACCATAGAGGTATATAAATCTAAGCGTTAGTGCTATCAGACACATAAATACTATTTTATTGTTTTCTGCCCTTTTTACTAAAAAGCAAAAAATTGTTCCCATAGTTTGACTTCAGATTTTAGGGCCACAGTCTTGAAGTGTTTTGAGTACTATTAGGAAAGAGCTACTGGAGGTCAATTTTTAAATGAGAACGTGAGAGAACTTGAGATTTGGTTGATTTACTACCCATGATGAAAATCTTCTTAAGCAGATGGAAGTAGTCTTAAGTGTGAAATTGAGGGTCCCAAGGATAACTTTCAGGCATTTTAATATTCAAAACTTTATTCAAGGAGCACAGAAAATTCATTATCTTCAAGTGTCAAGTTGGCATTTCAGGGCTGTATTTGAAAAATGGGTAGGGACGGGGCCCAACTTTGGACAGAGGTTCAGGTTTTTTAACAGGTAAAACTGAATGCCTAAAAGAGACCCAAGACTTACAGTACCCGTTTTGCTCCTTAATCCCCCATGCAGAAATAGAACTCCAAACCTTTTGCTTACCTTCTCTTTAGCTTAAACTTTTATTTCCCCCCATTTTCTTCGCTTTTCAAGATTTTCATCTATTCAATACCTTTTCTCTATGATTTTCATATTATTTTATATTTATTGCCTTCATTTTATTTATTTCTTTGTATTTCAGTTTTCTTCAGGTCTTCTTAGATCTAGTTCAAAACATAACAGTGTTTTAAGTATAGATGAAATGAAACTATAAGTAATCCACAACTTATGACTACAATTGAACCCAATATTTCTGTTGCTAAGCAAGGCAATTGTTAAGTGAATTATGCTGTATTTTACTATTTCCCCCCCCCCATTACTAAGATAATCACTGCAATTATTAAGTGAATCATGCAGTTGTTGAGTGAATTTGACTTCCCCTATACACTTTGATTGTCGTAAACCAATGGAATGATTACAAATGGTAATCACATGACCCTGGGACAATGAATCTGTTACAAATGCTTGCCAGTTGCCAAGCACATAAATTTTGATCATGTGACCATAGAGACGCTGCAGCAGTCATGTGAAAATAGGTCATATGTCACTTCTTTCAGTGTTATTGTATCCTTGAACTAAATGAATGTATCAGTTTTTCTGGGCATGTAGTCAAGGTGTTTTTCAGATTAAAAGGGAAAGATTTTCCTGTCTAGTCATGACTGGCTCTAGGGCGCAGTGTTCCTCTCTATTTCTTAGCCGAGGGAGCCATATTTTGTCCAAAGACATTTTCTGTGTTCATGTGGCCAGCATGGCTATATGCCAAAGGTGCACAGAACACTGTTACCTTCCTACCAAAGTGATACCTATTAATCCACTCATATTTGCAGGCTTTCAAGCTGCTAGGTGGGCAGGAGTTCACTTCACTGCACAGCGCTCAGGTCTCTAACCCTGGTTGTCAACTCCAGCCCATAAGCTCAGCAACTTTAATTGCTGAGCCATTGCGTCCCCGATCAAAGAGTACTGGAGAAAAGGCCCATAGCTTTGATTTTGGAACAATTCCAGGGGAGAAATTCTTTCCGCTTCAGAACTGCAAGCATATGATTAGAATATGGGAAATATTATCAGATATATATTAACTATTTCCAGCCGTAGAATAGATTCTCTAGGAATGATTCTTATCGTTCTGTACAACCTTTTAAAAAAAGAAAGAACATAGACATATGTTCAGTCCCAGACGTAACAGGATTAAACAGATATCTTGAAAAACCAGAAATCCAGAAAGTCTCTCCTTCTAGCAGCATATGACATAGACAAGCATCATTTTGAAATCCTTGCTTTGGTATCTGAGAGGGCATCAGAGGCTTGCCATTTTGTGCCCAGTATCCAAGATTTCCCTAATTAGTTGGCCTCCCCTGCTTGAGAAGACAGAAATCAAAATAAGTCCATGCTTGTAATTAGTGTGAGGTGTGTGTGTGTGTGTGTGTGTGTGTGTAATATATGTTCCTTATTTACTCTTTTTTTCATCTTGACATAGTCTTCTTGCAAAAGCAGTGTATCTCTATCAAAGCAAGAGTCAAATAAACAAACACAGAAGTCTGGAGGAAAGCAGCTGTCATCTACAAAATCGCAGGATATCTCATATAGTTGGTCTGATGAGTCTTTATCCATGACCCAATCAGGTAAGTATTACAGCTTCAACTTCCTTTTTTTATCATTTTTAAATTATTTTTAATGAGTTTCAGTTTTCCATTGGAATTGATGGAGCTTGAATTCTATGTAGATTACAGCATTCAATATAACATATTTGCAATTTTCCACCAATTTTCGATTTGGGAAATGAAAAAGGCGAGACCGCTCATCAGAAAGATTACAGAGAAAGGATAGGAATGGGTAAAAGGAACAAATCATTTTTATCACTTTAGTTTACATGTCACTTAAATTTAGAAGTTTTGTTTTAGTTCTGTTTTTAATAAATAAGATATAATTTTATTGTAATTATGGTTGAGATTGGATTCTTAACAGTGATTAGATAAAATGGGTTTATGTGGCTGTTCTAGCATGCAAATATATATATTTGGAAACTATATATATATATTTTTTAGAAACTACATCTGATCAAAGTGACATTGAAAGTCGAATCTGGGCTCTGAAAAATGAAGTGCGGAAAAAAAAGTCTGTTGTTTATAGACTGAAAAAAGAACAGAAGAAGAGGCTCAAAGAGAAACTTAAAGCTCAAGAGGCAAGTTTGATCAAACAGTTAGAGGTAAGAATTAATTTGAAAGAAATGTTAAATAGAAAGTGTGTATCTGTTACATATTGATATTCCCGTGTTTTCTTTTGCCTCATTTTCTATGAATATTTTTTCCTTTTGAGTTTGCTTTGATATTGATAGTAATATAACAATATTGACCAAAAACAAAATAAAAATATATTCATAGGTTAAATTATATAATAACCATAAAACATTTGTATATCTTACACACGCAAACACACACAGTTCCAAATTTCAATTTTCAGTAAGATTAACACTTGAAAACAAATTTAATAAAGAATAAGGTAATGTTCAGGTCTTCTTAATACCTTATTTTTTACATCATTAGACTTATGATGAATTCATCAAGAAAACGGAAGAAGAATTGAATGAGGATTTTGAGACAACACCAACAGCTAAACCTCAAATCAAAACTCCATCTTTAGTTATTGAGAAACCAAAGCTCAAACCCCCACCACTTCATAGGTAAAGTAATTGCTTAAAGTTAATGCATGATGGCCTTTAGCAGTCTAGAAAAGGTTTATATCTCTTTCAAAGGGAGAAAACTATCTTATATGCATGCATATTTAAGAATCTGAGATGCTGATCAAAAGAAATATTTGGATGAATTCATATTAAAAAGAGACCGACCAAGTAAATTTTTGGTATATAATTTTGTATACAGAAAAACATGTTCCAGAGGAAAGAGAGTATTATAAATTAATAGTGGTTTAATTAATAATCCTTAACACTTATTCATTAATATATTTATAAATAAAAAATTATCAAAATGAATATTTTGACACTGTAGTAAAATGGACAAAATCATGCACTAGACTGTAGTATTCAAAATCATAAAGTCATGACCAAAGCTCATGCTAAAAAAAGAAAAATCTTGACGTGTTAGACACTGAGCTGCAACTACATAAAAGCAATATCTATATGTTGATGTTACCATTTCCTGTCGCCATTTCAATACCATTGCAGTTTACTGCAGAGGCTGCCACCAATTTATTAATGAGAGTAATGCCAAGTATTATTGTATGAAAATTTGGAACATATAGATTATTATCATGTAGTCCCTAGTCATCTCATGGTTGGACTATTGTAATGTGCTCTACATGAGGCTACCCTTGAAGAGCATTCAGAGGTACAGTTGGTGCAGAATGCAGTAGTGCAGGCAGTTTGGTGGCCCCTGTAACACCACTGCTCCGCAAGCTTCATTGGCTGCTGGTCTGCTTCCAGGTACAATACAAGGTGCTGGTGATCACCTTTAAAACTCTTAATGGCATGGATCCAGGTTACTTGAGGGACTATCTAACCCCGCTGGGATTGGCCTGTCCCACTTCTGCTGGCATGCTGCGGGTCCCGTCAGTCCAATTATTCTAGCAGGTCCAGGAGAAGGGCCTTCTCTGCTGTTGCTCCTGCCCTCTGGAACATCTTACTTCTCTGATGTGAGGTTGTCCCTAGCCCTCCTATCCTTTTGTAAGGGCCTAAAGACCTGGCTCTGCCAGCTGGCCTGGGGTCCCAATGTAGGGAAAAGCACGATGGATGTGGTTGATTGAGTAACCCATTCTGTTGCCACCCTCTCCGTGTGTCCTTGGTTTTATTCTGTGGTTTTAATGTATTCAGGTTTTAATGTAAATGTTTTTTTTTTGTCTGTAACCACTCAGAGTTACCTTATGGTAATATGGGAGGCCAATAAATTTTATAATTAAATTTTTAAAAAATATTCAGAGATTACTTCTTTGCCCATCAATCCTATGTTGCTGCAAATAACTTGAATAAGTTGGATATGTTTTTCCTTTCAAAATCCAATTTTAGCAAACCTTCCTTTGGGGTGGCAGATATAACTATTTTGAGGGGATTGCAACATTCAAATCTCTGAATTAAATATTGGATTATTTTTTTTAAAAAAAGAATGCTATGTTTTCTCCTTGTTTTATTTTGTTAATTCTGTGCAGTGTACAATATTTTTAGAATGTTTAAAATATCTTTAAGTACATGTGTGAGTGATCTATTCGAAACTTCTTTTTAGGTCTGAAACATCCAAAAGTTGGAAATCACTCACTGATTCTGAACGTTCTAGAGGATCTTTGGAATCTATTGCGGAACATATTGGTATGTATCTTGGAAATTTGTTTAAAAATAAAATTATACACGTTATCTTCATAAACCTAATGTGGTTAAAATAATTTCAACTAAAAGTATGTTTTTTAAAAAAATATATAATTGAAAAACAAGCAAGTGAATTTAATAGATTTTATTATTATTTTAAATTAATATTTTTTTAAAAAAATGAGAACTTTTTCCCATAGTATTGCGATAAGTAAGAATCTGTTGAATTATTTCATATTCAGTATAAATTCTAAAAATATATTTTATTTTCTATAAGCTATTCATATTTTCTAGCAATTTTATTTATAATACTTCTTCAAAAAAAGTTCAGAGAAGAATACTAGTACTTGCTACCAAGCACTTAGTTCAGAGTGGCTAAATAAGCATAAGTATCTCTTCTGACACTTCTATTGAGTTTCGTTTGCACTATGCCTGAACTGGAGTTGATAACTTTTTAGAAAGAAATAAGATAGGGATTCAGATTCAGAGTAATATTAGTTAATTTATTGTGTTCACTATGTGTCTCTCTGTTCATACTTCTTCATTCTAGAATTTGTTTAATAAACATTTAAGTTTAGTAAAGTATCAGACAAGGAAGGAAAGATCAAATCTCAACGATCACCTGGTTTATTGTACAAGAAATTTAAAGGGAACATTTATACAGTTTAAAAACCTTTGTATATATTTGGGGGTCTGTTAATTCTAATTCATAGTAGAATCAAAGCATGTATGAAGTTTTATTGATTATAAATTTGATTGGAATATTGTGTTTAATTATACTTTAGCCATTTATATGTAAACTGGAATATTCATACTATTTGATGGGACCAGTTAGCATTCTCTAGTAAGAATTTCAGTTTTTTCCTATTACACCCATACTTTTTACTTCTTTAATACTGCTAAATAAAAGTGCACAATTGTTTTAAGTATGTGTGTTTGATTTTGTTTTATTCTCTTAAGATGCTGTGCCACCTTCTGAACAATCTGTGTCTGTAAACAGCATGAAATTAACAGAAGCAGAGATTCAAACAGAGAAGCAGTCTCATACAGCATCCACAGTCCTCAAAATCCTAAGAAAATCTTCAGCAGAATCTGACAATTTGGATAGTTTACTCCCATCAGCTATTCTCAAAGACTTAGGAAACGCGAGCAAAATATCTCCCATATCACTGACTAAGTCTGAAGATGCAGTGAGTTATGACTGTCCCACTACCAGATCTATAGTGCAAGCGATAGCAGAATCAAAAGAATTAGAGGTTGAAATAGCCTCCCAGGCTTATGAAATATCCAGTGCCTCCGTTTTTGATTTAAATCAAAACAATTCAGTTCCTTTAAAGAGAGAGGTCCCTCCAGAGACTGAGCTGTTGGAAAAGAATCAGTTTGTCTTGGAATGCATAAGTGTGCAGGAAATCAAGGAGATGCCAAGTGAAAGGTTCAATGATGATGAAAGTATTACATCAGTCAAATCTGTTTCAGAACAGATTTCCATTTGTGAAGAGCAATCATATTCTAGTGATTTTGAAGAGTCTTCCTTAGGAACAGATATATCAAAAAGTGATATAGTTCTTACTGAATATCAAAGAGATATTTTTCAAGCACCTACATTATCTTTCAGACAAGATACAGGATCACAGGGAGAGAACTCCTTGTACACAAGGCCTCCTAGGAGTGAATCCCCTGGTTTTGGAAGCGAGGATGAAATAAGTGAATGTCTCAGTGAAAAATCTTTGTCTGTAGCTGATAGCATTCAATCAGAAAGATTGTTAGAACTCAAGTCACCAACAGAATTTGTGAAAAATAAAGATTGTGGTGATGTGGAAAAAGAACCATTTGATGATGATGATGATTTATGTTGGGCTTCCAGTTTCAAGGCATCATCAGAAAAGCAAGAAGATATTTTGCGAGGTTTCAGCATTGGTGACCGAGTTGTTGTGAGTAATGTATACTCTGGAACGCTGAAATTTAAAGGTTGGACAAATTTTGATAAAGGTTTTTGGGCTGGTGTAGAATTGGATGAACCAGAAGGAAACAATAATGGTTCTTACAATGGTATTCAATATTTTGATTGTAAAGAAAATCATGGTATTTTTGCCCCTCCACAAAAAATATCTCTTTTTTCAAAAAGTTTTGGTAATGACTTAGATTCAAATGAAAATTCTTTCTTTAAGCATGAACAAGATAATCAACACAAAACAAATCGGGAAGGCTCAGGCACTCTTGAAAAAGAAAAGAATAAAAGAAATACAAATGAGAAATCTCCAAGAGAATCATCTGCCTTAAAAGGCTCAATTGGAGCTGGAGATTATGTAAAATTCAATAAATCAAGTGACTGTCTGGTAGTTATTAGTACTATTGATGGGTTTGATCAAGAAACCAGTGGCTTTGACTCTCCCAAATCCTCTAAAAATGATAATGGTATGTTACCTCCTGCCATTTCTAAGATCCACAAAGAAGATTCTGCTATTGAAGTTGGAGGGGATTTGGACAGCAACTTTCCTGGGAAATGGAAGCACCGGTCAGTGTGGCAAGAGCAAACAGAAACCAGGTTTTCTCCCAGTAATCTGGAAAAATCTGCAACGCCACTTCTGGACTTATTGACAAAAGAAAGAAGCCAACTAGAAGCCCAACTTAAAGTCCCATCCCAAGAAAAGGAAGATCTACTAGATCGAGAGGAAAGAGTTGGTTTATTGGCTGACAGTCTCCTGCAAGGTTTTGTGAAAGACACAGTCAGTCAATTTCAGCAAATCAAAAAGGCAAGGAACGAGAAGATCCATTTTAGCAATCAAGGACTCAGTGCTGTCCAAGAAAATAACTTGGCAACTGATGAACAGCAGAGGTTTTTAGTGGTATCAGAATTGGATGATGGAGAAGAAGTATCTTCCCCAGATATGTGTCCCAGACCAGTAAGTATAGTTAATAATTAAGATAAGTAAGACTAGAGTAATGTTTCAGTTATGAAGTTTGACAGGCTGTGGCTTATTAATAAGCTGTGTCTTAACAAAGATGTTTCTGTTTCACATTTTTGTTTGTTTTTAATCACCTTTGTTTTTATCAGTGTTTGTACACCGGCACATTCAAATCAGACTTGCCATAGTTCACAACACTTTCTTGCACCCTAAGAACAAAAAAGAATCTTAACTGAAAATATGACTATATATCATTAAATTTTAAAGCGTTCATGGATAACGCATATCAAAATCAGGAATATAGTGCAGGAAATACTTAAGGTACTAAGTAATAACAACTTTCTTATTATTTAGGAAAGCCCTGTATTTGGTGCCAGTGGACAGGAAGAACTTGCCAAGAGGCTGGCAGAACTGGAACTTAGCCGGGAGTTTCTGAATGTGTTAGGAGATGACCAAGATTGGTTTGATGACGATTTTGGCTTGAGTTCACATAAGCTCCCTCAGAACCAAGTTGAAGAATCAGCAGTATTACCTAAGATAGAACTGCCAAAAGTGTCCCCAAAGCCATGTGAAGAACCTTTGGCTGCACCATATCTTGCAGAAGAGGTGGAGGAATTGGTGCATGCAGCAGCTGAGAAGCTATGGAAATGCAAAGAGTTGGGGTTTGATCTTCAGGCTCTCAGTAACCCCAGAGACATGAATGAATACCCCCAAAATGATGACATTGAAACTGTTAGTAAACAAATCTACGAAAAGGTATGACAGTTATCTCAGATTATTGTGAAATGTATAAAAATAGAGAAAATGTACCAAAGGAGTCCCGAATCTGTTAAAAAAGAAGAAGGAATGCTGTTTTGGACTCAGTGATAGAATGCAATATAAAATAAGTGTGTGGTGTGTTTGTGGAAGACAGATAAAATGAAGTGTAAGAGAAAAGAGGTTATGGAGGCATTTTTCAAAAGTGATATAAACAGTAAAAATCTTGGCCCCAAGAATGCAATAATTAAGCAAAATTATATCCCACTTGCTGCATAGCAAATATTCAGCATAAATACTTTCATAAATATTTTTGTTTGGTTCTTTGAAAAATGATACAGTATTATAATGTACAATGGTAATACAGTGTTATTTTATTTTTATTTTTATCAAGGCTGTGTTTGATTTAACAAGAGAGATTTTTGAAGAAATCTTTGCAGAAGATCCAAATTTGAATCAGCCATTGTGGATGAAACCCAGCAGGATCATTTCTGGTTACTTTCGACGAGTAAAAGATCCAAGTGATCTTGAAGAAATAAAAGTAGGAATAAGATTAATAGCTTGAATTTTAAATATATTTATAGAAACAAAGTACAGTTCATCTAGACAGCAGTTCTCAGATGTTTTTGTCTCAGGACGTCGTTACATTCTTAAAAATGATTGAGGGCTCCAAAGACCTTTGGTTTACATGAGTTATATTTATGGATATTTACTGTATTAAGGTTTAAAACTGAGAAAATTTAAAAGCATTGTCTTCATGGAATCTCTGAAAGGGACTTGGGCTCTCCCAGGAGTCCCCAGTTCATGCTGAGAACCACTGATCTAGAACTTGAGGTAGAATGTGAAGTCTGGTGGAAGTTTATTATGCATTTTTATTTGAAAAATGATTTTCTTACACCATCAGTCATGTTCCAAGATGAGTGGTACATATGATACTGCACTGCTCAAAAAAATAAAGGGAACACAAAAATAAGACATCCTAGATCTGAATGAATGAAATATTCTTATTAAATACTTTGTTCATTACATAGTTGAATGTGCTGACAACAAACTTACACAAAAATTATCAATGGAAATCAAATTTAGCAACCCATGGAGGTCTGGATTTGGAGTTACACTCAAAATTAAAGTGGAAAAAAACACTACAGGCTGATCCAACTTTGATGTAATGTCCTTAAAACAAGTCAAAATGAGGCTCAGTAGTGTGTGTGGCCTCCACGTGTCTGTATGACCTCCCTACAACACCTGGGCATGCTCCTGATCCCTCTCTCCTGAGGGATCTCCCCCAACTCCTGGACAGTCTGTGGTGCAACGTGGCGTTGGTGGATGGATCGAGACATGATGTCCCAGATGTGCTCAATTGGATTCAGGTTTGGGGAACGGGCAGGCCAGTCCATAGCATCAATGCCTTCGTCTTGCAGGAACTGCTGACACACTCCTGCCACATGAGGTCTAGCATTGTCTTACATTAGGAGGAACCCAGGCCAACCGCACCAGCATATAGTCTCACAAAGGGTCCGAGGATCTCATCTCGGTACCTAATGGCAGTCAGGCTACTTCTGGTGAGCACATGGAGGGCTGTGCAGCCCCCTAAAGAAATGCCACCCCATACCATTACTGACCCACTGCCAAACCGGTCATGCTGGAGGATGCTGCAGGCAGCAGAACATTCTCCACGGCGTCTCCAGACACTGTCACATCTGTCACATGTGCTCAGTGTGAACCTGCTTTGTGAAGAGTGTGAAGAGCACAGGGCACTAGTGGCGAATTTGCCAATCCTGGTGTTCTCTGGCAAATGCTAAACGTCCTGCACGGTGTTGGGCTGTAAGCACAATCCCCACCCGTGGATGTTGGGCCCTCATACCACCCTCATGGAGTCTGTTTCTGACTGTTTGAGCAGCCACATGCACATTTGTGGCCCGCTGGAGGTCATTTTGCAGGGCTCTGGCAGTGCTCCTCCTGTCCCTCCTTGCACAAAGGAGGAGGTAGCGGTCCTGATGCTGGGTTGTTGCCCTCCTACGGCCTCCTCCACGTCTCCTGATGTATTGGCCTGTCTCCTGGTAGTGCCTCCATGCTCTGGACACTACGCTGACAGACACAGCAAACCTTCTTGCCACAGCTCGCATTGTTGTGTCATCCTGGATGAGCTGCACTACCTGAGCCACTTGTGTGGCTTGTAGACTCCGTCTCATGCTACCACTAGAGTGGAAGCACCGCCAGCATTCAGAAGTGACCAAACCATCAGCCAGAAAGCATAGGAACTGAGAAGTGGTCTGTGGTTACCACCTGCAGAACCACTCCTTTATTGAGGATGTCTTGCTAACTGCCTATGTTTTCAACCTCTTGTCTATTCCATTTGCACAAGAGCATGTGAAATTGATTGCCAATCAGTGTTGCTACCTAAGTGGACAGTTTGATTTCACAGAAGTGTGATTGACTTGGAGTTACATTGTGTTGTTTAAGTGTTCCCTTTATTTTTTTAAGCAGTGTATCTCTCATTTTTCCAGTACAGTTTCTTCTTACTGTATTGCTGATTTCATTTAAATATTAGTTTGAAACTGGATGTGGATGAATGCTTCTATTTCTTAAAACTAAAATAATAAAGGCTTTAACTGTCAATATTTTACACTGTTCCAGTTATAAATCAATCCAAGATGGCTTACATCTAGCATATAATTTTTTTTAAAAAAAATACAATGAATGATAACCAATATATAAAGAATTAAAACTCTTCCAATACAGCAACTAATAATAGCTATATCTGGATTAATGAGTCAAGGAGTGGAGATAGTTCCAAAGAATGCCTGATGCTGCTTTTATCTGTATTCTGGAATGTACAATGGTTGAATCAGTGTCATAATTCATAATGAACTTCATGGATATTTCTAGAGTTAGCTACCAAGTTGCTTTACTACAGTTGTAATTACCTAGCAATACAATGTGTTTTCTGTTGCATATATGCCATGTCTGTGACCTCACTAGAAATCGTCTCCCTGAAAGCTGCTTGTAGAATTGATGTTGCAACTAGAGAAAATGTATTTAGTTAGCATTCATTATTATTTTTATTTCTCCTTTATCCGAGGTCTTTATAACAGCTGAGGTTTTAAAGCTCTTAAATTTGAGAAAGGAATCAAATAATAAAACAGACTGGCAGAAAATGATGAAATTTGGACGGAAAAAAAAGGATAGAGTGGATCACATATTGGTTAGTAATTATTTTTTCAGTTTTACATTATAGTCAGGCATAAATACCTAGCAATCTGCATGGTTTGAAAAAATGGGTTAGATCTAATGTTGTTTACATATTAGCTTGTTCTTCTTTCCCAGATTTGCTTTCAGTCCTCCTAAACAGAAGAATTGTAGACTATCAGGCGAATTAATGTATGCTTTTGAAGAACCACATTTTCCTTGTGTGTATGCATCCATATAAACTATGGATAAATGTCAAGTAAAATTACGCATTTCCAAATTTAGATTTTTAAGCAGAATAAAGATTTTTATTGTTATTATTTACTAGGGTATATAGGCCACTCCAATCAGAACCATCTCACTCTACAGTAGGCTATTTGGTTGTTTAATGTATTTATAGATACCGAAATACGCTTGTGATATAAGAGACGTTGTTTAATAACCTACATATGTGCATACCTCTGGAAAAAATGGTGCCTTATTGTTGGTTGAGGGCCCAAATGATTTTCAGCAGATACAACAAGAAAATGATAGCTGTTTTAACACAAAAATTGAGTGAATGATTGCAGATGATGCAGATTATGAATAATCATTCATAAATGGCAAAAAGAAATAGAGCAAAAAGATGAAGGTGTGCTTTTTGGAAAAAGTTTATTACAGATGGGAAAATAGATGGAGAAAGTTCAAGATGTGCAATTGCTGATAGAAAGGTAATGGGTAGTATTTGGTCTATTGTAAAGAATAAATGTCAGTGGAAAAGTGTGCTTCTAATCACTTTCTAAAGTGAAAGTAAGAGTTGACTAAAGTAAAAAAGCAAACGTATGTTTAATTTCTTAGGAATTGGGTATTTAAGTATTCATGATAAAGCAAAATATAAGGTTAAGAATACACAGCTGTTTGGGAAATGTAGACTGAAAACAAAAATGAATGATCATTATAAATGTACATTGAGGATAAAAATCAAATTGCAAAATAAATATATGAAGGAAAAATTAATGTGTTGAGAGGAAGGAGAAGGGTGAGAAAATAATGGCTGCCTGGAGTTGACAAGTTCTTGAAAAACAGGCAAAAAGTATAAAAGGCACAATACAGACATTGTGGAAACAAAGAAGGTATGGAAAGGTAATGAATAGTGTTGATATAAATTAACTTTAGTATCTTTCTTTTTTATGTATCTCATGCTTATAATTTCTTATTCTTTTTCTGTACAGTCTTGCTTACCCATAAGTGAATAGAATGATGGATGTACACAGTATGTTTATCTGTATATAACCATCTAAAGCTAGCTTAAACTTTTTTTCAAAAATATTTTACAGCAAATTGGCTACTTTTAGAGATAGCTTGAGCATAGGGAAATTTTTACTCCATAACCTTAATGCATATATAACTATTTAATAACTCTGACACTGTTGTAAAGTATGAATAGGTTTAAAATTACTAAGAAGTAACATGAGTAATTTCAGTGGAATATGAGTCACACCAAAGCCTGGCTTACTGGAGTGGCCAGAATCATTGATAAGTGATGGTGATGATTGATTGATTGACTGATTGATTGATTGATTGATTGACTGACTGACTGACTGACTGACTGCCAGCAAGTTAGTGTTGACTCTTCATGATCTCATAAATAGTGATATCATCCTATTTTTACATTTTTGGTATAACTGAAATATATCTAGGACTTATTCATTTTCTTTCCTGTGAGTTGTTGAAAATCTGTAGCTTTTATATAATGATGTTTAGATGGATTTACAATAATACTTTTGATGATATATGTTTACAGAGTAGTATATTAATAGCGGTGACTTTTCTCCCTCCCCTTTCTAATTCTAAGGTTCAAGAATTGCATGAAGAAGAGGCTCAGTGGGTGAACTATGATGAAGATGAGCTGTATGTGAAGATGCAGCTAGCAGATGGGATTTTTGAGGCCTTAATTAGAGACACTATTGATCTCCTCAATCAGATCTTTGAAAAACAGAAAATGTTTGTCTAACATCAAACCATATTTTTGTTCAAAATTGATTGGCTGAGAAGTGATACGTCTCCTCTTCCTGTGCTGCCTTTGGATCTCCTACACTGGATTTGTTCCAAAAAGGCTCCCACTCCCCTAGTATGTTTTTGCCAATTCAGTATGTACAATAATACTTGGCATTTGTTCTTTCAATATTGGCAGTTTGCAAATGGTTGGGGTGGAGCACCAAGAACCAAACGATGGAAAACTCAAGTTACTAGTAAACATTCTTCATGTTAATAACTGCTCTACTTTGTTTTATGTGTAATTTATAATTGTTTTCTGACTTAACAATGTATATGTCAGTCCAACCAAGTATCTGCTCCTCACTCTTATGTAATTTTAATCTTTTTGTCACATTGTGGATCTTCTGTCATTGGATTAATGCATGAGGATCTGAGGAGTCATGCCTCCTTTTTTCAACTAAATTTTTATTTCCATTTCTTAAACAGTTAATCTGAGATGCTTTTTTCTACTTTTCCACTATATTTGTTTTTTCCTCAGTGAACCACCAGCTGTTCCTCAGTAAATGGTACTCAGGATTCTCTCAGGATTTTAATATGTGAGAGATAGGAAAAAATGCTTACATAATGTGGGCCACTGATCCCTTTGATTCCTCCCTTGCTTACCACCTTACTGTAATGTACTGGTGAAACCATTTACTTGAACTAGCTAGGGTTAGGAGTGTATGTACCAAAGAGAGTGATACCCAGTGCTTGACTCTGGACCTGATTTTTTTATGCTTGTGACATTTGTTATAACTTATTTTATAACTCCTAAAAAAATAATGGTTGAGTGCTCTGTGGATGCACTGTTACAGGATTTAAAACGTCAGAATATCTGTACATTAGGAATGCATCTGTCTTATAAAAATGAGGTATCATACTATGTGCAAGAAATGCATCAGAGATGAGAGTCGACAAAGATCCAAATGCATGTTTTTTTCTCCTCTGTGGGGTAGAAACGGATTGTGAAGAGGCCCATGTTATATTAAACTAATGTACTTGGAAAGGAAAATAGGATGTCAAAGGCCCTTTTGCCAAGATTTCCATGACTATTAGAGTGGGCCACTGTCAAACCCAGTGTGGCTTATACTGCCTCCATGCCTCCTCTCCCACCCCCAAAGTTTTCTCCAGGGAATACAAAATAATGTAGGCTTGACTACTGATGCCTTAATTTGAAATCTGGATTACTTGAGGAAATATTGAATCAGAGTGGATTCAAAATCTGTTAATCTATCCCAGCAGAGATCGTGTTCCAAAGCATAGGAGAAGGCATTCCAAAGAGTCTATGCGCCTATTTATGCCCTTTTTCCTTTCATCTTTAGTTTCTTGGTCTTCCAGTCAGTATATGTCTGCAAGTACTCTCTCGTGGATCTCTTTTGAAACTTTTTTTTATTTGTTTGCTGTTTGCACAGTAACACACAACCAAGATAGCTCCTTTTAACCAGAAAATATAAAAAAAACGTTGTTGGCATACAATCAGAACTGCTCATAGGTAGATTGACAGAATCACATTTGTAAACTTGGGATGATTAATTATACTGAAATGGGCTAAAGGAACAAAAGACAGAATAACTAGCACATAGACTTTAGTAGCATGTAAATGTCAATTTTAAACAAATCTGGTGGAGCAAGCTGCTATGAGTTAAGTACTTTTCATACTGAACCTCAGAATGTTTTTAATGCATATTTAATACTTAACTGGTTTTTTTCTGTTTTGAAACAAATGAGGCCATTTTCTAACAGTTTTAGGTTTTGCCATTTTGGGGTCATCCATGTCTTGCCCTACCTACATAGCTAAATTATGAGAATCAAGGGAATATCCAAGCAAAGAGGATGGGGGAAGTCATGAACTTAAACTGATAACTATTGATCAAGCAGAATGTTGACATGACAGAATGTTGATTAAAGCAATAGAATAATATATACAATAAATTGCTTAACTCAGATTTGTTGCTGAGGAACGGGGCCAACATATGGTATAGATTTAAACTGAGAGAACTGTAGCTATTATAACATTTTTTGCAAGGCAACAATTACTTGAGCATGAATCCAGGTACATTCTAGCAACAATTTTGGCTGTGAAGGAATGGTGTTCAACATTGCCTTATCAGGCCCATATATACCAGAAAGGGCAACCCATTCAGGCCTTATATGGCATTTTTCGTCTGTCCCACAACTGTATGTGGCATAGTTCTGGGAATTCACTTTATCCTTAAAGATACTTCTGACTGCTCACTACATGCAACTAAGTTTCAGCTAAATTGACCTAACGACTGAACTGCATGTTATCAAAGCTGCACAATTTCTAGTTTTGTATCAGGCTGGTATGGTGTAGGCTGTTAAGGGCGGTTAACACTGGGATTCTTGAGAAAGAAATTCCCTTTTGGCTGAAGTGTAATTATTCTAATCACATCTTGCAATTGAATAGAGTGGGTGAGAAACTTGAGGAAAGAGGAGGAAAGAGTGCATAATGACTTGCCTTAAATAGCTGTTCTGGGCAACCTCCTTTTGTTCATTTCACTGACATATTAAGGATGTGTTGTTTCCCAAATCCCCTTTCTGCTGCCTCTATCCAGATGACCCCAAATATTGATGCCTCTATGGTTTTTTTTCCCCTGCTAGGGAAGGGTTATACTGAGGTGCTCTCTCATAAAAAGGGCTGGAGAATTGAGCTCAAATACCTGTTGATTTCAGTGATTCTGGCTACCAGATTCAACTTTTGCACCATCTCACAGAAACAACCTACTTACTATTATAGTTTTCTACAGTGCTTAATTATTCCTGCAAGTGAGATTGGAGAGCCATGCAGCTACTCTGAAAAACACCTAAAAACATTTTTTGGGATTCACTATAATACCTCTAGCTCACTTTGAAAAATCTATGTGCGCATAAACATGAAATACATGCTGTTGTTACCTACAGATTCATGAAATCACATACCTGAATGTCATTCCCCCACTTTTTTTTTATTTGCATGCAAATGCAGGCATGATCATTGTGTATACTAAATGTGAAAGTGAATTTTAACATAGTGCCCAGTGAATCCTTTGGAAAGTTGTCCTTTTCCCATCAGAGTTTGGAATGGACTTAAGCAGCATAGAGGAGTTTAATTATGACAAAGAATCACTAATTGTCTTGGAGAGTATATCCTGAATATATGAAATTATATTATGCCCAGCCATCAGAATTCACTTTAGAGAAAAATGCTGACAATAATATGTATATATGGAGAGAGAGCAGCTAGAAAATATGGACTGTTGGTGCTCTTTTATTCTATATTAAAATGAATTTTAATTCATTAAACATTAATGTGAATTTTTGAGGAAAATTGCTTACCACAAAATGTATGCAAATATAAAGAGCAACAATCTTTGTGGCTCTGTTCCTGACCTATAGATTTAAGATAAAATTCTGAAGATGTCCTATTAAAGCTCAATTTAAATGCAAAAACATCACCAAAAAGATTATTTTATGTGTTATTGTATAATCATTTACTTCAAAGGGAGGCTTGAATAGGACAGTAGTTCCATGGATTGTAAGCTGCCGCCTTTCAGTGCTCCAGTATTTCCGAAAATTTAACAGCAAGGTTTTATGGCCTGTTTGGCAAGGGGGAGGAGGACAAATGGATGATCTTTTAAAAAAAACACGTGGCCTTAGCATTTTTTGCAATACTTGAATAAAAGTGTGTATTCACTAAAGAAATACCATAGCACAGCATTCAGAGACCTTTGAAGTCACTGCACAGTAAAGCCTTTTTTTTCAAGCAAGTTTGTTATTTAATCAGAATTGATTGACTTGTGTTCCAGCAGCAAAAACAGTTTTGACCGTTGTAAAGTAATTCTTTGTAAATTGTACATTGTCAATATAAACAAGCAAAACTCATCTGAATTAATGTAAAAGCTCATGGATAAAGAATGAAAAACTCTATAACACATTGCAGTAAATAAACGTTTTGAGAGAGCCTTTGCTGTACATCTGCAGAGTTGTCTTGGAGAAACTATTCTTCCTTGCATACTGTGCTGTGCAGATACTGTTTCTGCCTATGTGTTTATGTAAGTAAGTTATTCATAGGTTTCCAGGCCAATTTCAGCCAATGTACGCACTTCTTTGTGTAGTACGGCTTGGTAGAATACAGGGTGTTAAGGTTCATGTACTTTTGAAATGTAAAATAAAACAGTATAGTCTCTTTACACCAATGTAAATACCTTTGTTATATTGAGATGTACTTTAAGAGAATAAAATCTGTAAATAAAGTGATTTATAAATTATCCAAATAGTTTATCAGTTGTTAAAATAAAGTACATTTGTTCATATGCTGTTTGTTCTGGATGAATCTAGGTCTCAGTTCTCTTCAAAAATATTTGCTGGGGACAAGGTATGCTTTAATTACACAGATAGTTTTGTTAATCAAGCCAGTGTTTCTGGGCATTCCAACATGAAGATATTTGATTTCACAGCCCTCAATAATGGATTCTTCTATATGCAGAAAATGTGTTTACTAATATTAGCAATAATTATTTCTTCTCAGTTGCCACTTGAGGTTCTTTAAGCCTAGAAAAGAAACAGAATAGCTCTAAGCCAGAGGTTTCCACCCTTGGTCCATGGACCAGCAACTGGGCCATGGCATGCTAGAAACCGGGCCACACAAACAAGTGATATTGTTAGTCAATATTCTGAGTTTTCTTTACTAATCATGGCTTAAATTAATGGATACAGACAAATCTTTTGCTAAGACAAACTTGTTTATTATAAGAAGCAGCAGACAATATAGAACGGTGGTGAACGTATGGCACACTTGCCATCATCCCAGCTCAGCTCCACTGCATTTCTCCGTGGCATTTCTCTCTGTCATTTGTTCCATCAAACGAAACAAACTCACATAAAAAAAAGATCTCACCACTGGCAGAGCTGCCATTGTTGGGATGCCCATCTCCCGCCAGCCAGCCGGTCTTTGGGTCTCTGCTGTGCATGCACCTGCGCATGCATGTGCCCGTGCACCTTGCAGTTTGGACATGTGGCACTTGCACTTTGGGCACGCAGTGCCTAAAAGGTTTGCCATTAGTGGTATATAAAATGAGAAATGGTTCCCTGAAGATGGGCTCTAGCATAAGTCTGAAAGCTCGGAAGACAAAACCTCTGCTCTTGGTGACCAACACAGATTGGATCCTGCAATATTATCCTGGGACACATCCATTTGTAAGATAATACAGTCTGAAATTCAGAGGCTGTAGAAAACCTTGTTCTCTTAACTCAGTTTCATGAGTTAAATTCTTGGCCTTTTGTTAGCATTTATTACTTGTCTATGCCAGTTATTTAGTAACTTATTTTCAATAAAGACTGAAATTGTGAAAAGAAATTAAACTTTGGTAGAATATTTAACTGCTGCAGCTCTTCATCCAGAATAATTTTATATTTCTATTTTATTGTTTTTCCAAGATGACAATTATTCTTAAATAAATATTTATTTTCTACTTGGGGGGGGGGGGACCTCTAAATATTAAACTGTTTAGCATCATGTTAAAGCCTATGGTTTGATACACGCATTGCTTTTCTTTTTCTGTCAGATTCCATGTCAACATTTGAGGGTTTTTCTTCATTATTCCGATAACTTGACATTGAACCATATTGTTGTGCATGCTCCATCAGCCATGTTAAAATCTCTAGGCTGAGCAATTATAAGTACAGTATCATCAGCAAATAAGTTTGCTTATGTTCTTGTGTGGCTATTTCTGCACCAAATTGTTATTTTGGTGTAGCTGAATTTCCAGTGGTTCCAGTGCCAGTAAAAACAAAATGAGAAAGGGAACTCCCTCATCTTGTCCCCTTGGATTTCTCATATTGTTGTATAATAAGACTATTTACAATATATTTATAAATGCTTTATAAATGCTCTGTACCATGGGCAAAAATGATGGCCACACTCCTTTGTTTCTCAAAACTACAAAATAAAAGGGTCAAAGGCTTTTTTCAGCGTCAAGAAAACTCAGCCACTTTTTTTATTTTTCTGATTTACCTTAACAACAAATATATTTCAAAGAGATACATAATAATCTAATATCTTATACATCTCTGAGATAAAGCCATCTGATCAGGATGTTTCAATTCAGTTAAAAAGCCATTTAGTATCTTAGCAAGAATTACTGTTAAAAATGTATAATTCATAGATAGTAAAGAGATGGATTTATAGGCTTCAGGAATCTTTCCTTTTCTACCAATCAAAGAAATGAAAGCTTTATATACTTCTTTCAAATGAGAGATTGACCTCTTAAGTAGCTTTAAAATTGGTTTTTTTAGGTAAAATAGAATTGAATTCTTTATTGGCCAAGTGTTATTGGACACACAAAGAATTCTCCGATGCATAAGGTCTCAGTGTACATACAAACAGCAAAATGATAAATCATAGATCATAAATCATACGATACAAAAATAAATCATAAGATACAAGCAACAATGGATAAATTATAATATACCAATAGAAGAAGGTAGTAGGAAAGATGAGAGGTGAGAAAGATGAAAAGATGTCAAGGATAATAGTAATACAGCCATTAATACATGGGTAAGTATTTTTAGGCCTAAAACTGCTGTGGGAGTGAGGTATTTAGCACAGTGATGGCATGGGGGAAGAAATTGTCTTTGTAACTAATTGTTTTGGCCTATAGCGGAATCTTGAGGGGATAAGTTGAAACAGTTTATGTCCAGGATGTGAGGGGTCTGTAGATATTTTCTCAGTCCTCTTTCTGGCTCATGCAGTATACAGGTCCTCAATGGAAGGCAGGCTGGTTGCAACTGTTTTTTCTGTTGTTTTTTCTTCAGTCCTAACTAATGTGCCAAACTAGACAGTTTTAGAGGTACAAGTGCAGGTAGAATTAGCTGATTAGTTATGAGTTATGGTGAAAGTTAAACTAAGATGAGAAGTGTCCTGAAAATCAGATATTAAAAGACAACCATTGGATTTGCTACTTCATACTTTATTTCTGAGGTTTCTAAGGAAGCGACCTGGCTGTTGGTGAGGGATTTTCATCTGAACACTCTCCAGAGAATAATGGTTATTAACAGTAAATAAGATGAATTTATTTTTGTGGGAGAACATTCATTACCAGAAATGTCCTTTCAAACCAGAGGATTAATCAGAAGGACAAAGTCCCCCTCTATTGTACACTCATGCCATGTCAAGATGCGCATATTAAAGGAACAGAGTTTGTGCCACAATGTTGCAATGCACGCTTCATCCTTTCCTCCCTCACACACACACACACACACACACACACACACACACACACACACACACGCCTTGGTGCAGATGCTGATCTTTGATATACTTTTGCCTTCATCCCAGTGTAGCATTCTAGCAAGAGAAAGAATAATGAGGTCACTGACACTTGTTTTCAGTTTCTATCTCTTATCTCTACAGGGAACAAAAGAGATATTTTGAATTCTTAAGAGCCAGGGCAAAAAATAATAATAATCATTTTGTAGAGATGTCCCCAACAGCTATTCTGTGGGATAAGATGGCAAAGTTTAAATCACTGAGAGAGGAGCAAGCATTGGTTTCAAATCTGCAAGAAAAAGCAACAGCTGCAGCCAAGATTTTTTTTTAGCCTAGCTAGGAATGTCCTTTGGCTGAAGATCAGCTTCTGACTTTGGCACAGACTGAATCTATTTGGAGAAGAAATTAACCCACATGAAGCTTTATTCTTGCCATCTTGTAGTCTCAGCTATCTGAATATGCAGCAGGGAGCAAAGTTCATCTTCAAAACATCTTCACATTTCAACAATAAGGGGAAGTGGAAAGTTCCAAACCAACCTTCCCCAGTCTTGGACTAGGACAGCTGAGAATTAGGAGAAATAGAGATTGATATTGTTCAATGTTGCAGGTTGGAGGGTAACTGCAAATACCCGCCAAAAGCTCTAAGGTGAATACACATAGACAATTTATAAGAACACTTCAATGCACCAATAATATAATGTGAGATAGCAACAGTCTAAAACAGAGGTCTCCAAACTTGGCCATGCTGGCTGGAGAATTCTGGGAATCAAAGTCCACAAGTCTTAAAGTTGCCAGGTTTGGGGACCCCTGGTCTAAAAAGAAAGGAAAAAAGGCCTCATGTGTGCCTTGAATCTTATTCATTAAAATGGTTCCTATTTTTTCAGGCCTCTAAAGGAGACTTGTGGTTGCTGTAAGAGTCACAACAGAATCTTAAAACAGAATCCCCTTTCTGTACATTCAGACTGCCACATTCTATCCCATCCTCAACAGAAAGAAAGCAAGAAAGAAAAATACAGGTGGTCCTTGACTTAAAATGGTTTGTTTAGTGACCACTCGAAGTCCCGACAGCACTGAAAAAAGTGAGTTATGACCATTTTTCACACTTACAACCGTTGCGGCATCCCCATGGTCACCTGATGAAAATTCAGGTGCTTGGTAACTGACTTGTATCTATGACAGTTGCAGGGTCTTGAGGTCATGTGATCATCACCTTTTGTGACCTTCTGACAAGCAAAGTCAATGGGGAAATCAGATTCACTTAACAACCGGGTCACTAACTTAACAACTGCAGTGATTCAGTGAACAACCGTGGCAAGAAAGGTTGTAAAATGGGACAAAATTAACTTAACAAATGTCTCACTTAGCGACAGAAAATTTGGGCTCAATTGTGGTTGCAAGTCAAGGACTACTTGTACAAGTCAGACAGTGGACCCCTCCTTGTCTGGTTTCTCAAGAGAAAGGAAGCCTAACAAACGCTTTATTATTTATTTATTATGAAATTTATTTGCTGCCGATCTCGTTTCAAAGCGACTCTGTTAGCACTTTCTCCTCTGTTTGTTCCCTTTGGCTTCGTAGGTGGGGCTGCAAAGTCCATAACCTCACATTTCTCTTGAGGACAGAACTTCCTCCAGCAGCGATGGCTGGTTCTTAATAAATAAAAGGCCTTTCAGAGCAGCTTGAACTACCCTGAAGCTGAGCTGCAAATAAATCAGTTGTGCTGGCTGGATAAACAACCCTCTGGAGTTGCTTTCAAAGGGGGACAGAATTCCTGACACTCAGAAGGCTGTTGGTGTCTGGGTTTCCACAGCATTAATCCTGACTGACAAAACAAAACTGCTCTATTCATATTGTCGTGTCCGTTGCAGGGAAGGAGACTCGGGAGCCAGTGACTTTGATTCAGCTCTTTATTAAGTCCCGAGATCGGCTCGGGCAACAGGAGAAAAGTGGCGGCTTTTATTCTTTGGCTGCGGCGGCCGCGGCCAATGGCACCGCTTTGAATCTCCCGCGATTAGTATCCACCAATCGCGGGGATTCACGGCGGGCCAATCA